ATATCTGTTCGATGCTTATTCAGGCCTGCAGCCTATGGACGGCCTCTACTGTATAGCAACACCTTCAGCGCATGTGCTACCGGAAGCACTGCTTCGCTATCAGAGCAACAAGACAAGGCTCTAACTAGTAAGATGCGACTCATCCTGTGCAGCAGCAGCAGCCTCCTGCGCCAATGGTGAAAAGCTAATAAGCTATGCACTCCGCGAGTAAAAACTCGGGGGAGGGGTGTCCATGTTTTACGTGTGGCCTGGCCGGCATACTCACCACTAGAAACTCCTCCTTGTCCACCCGCCGATTGCCGTCAGTGTCAAACATGTTAAAGGCAATTCGGAAGCCAGACTGTGGTTCTGTGAATCAGAGTTAGAAGTGACATGATGAATGAATTTATAATACAATCACCACCTCTACGACTACCACCACTAGCGTCTATATTATGACGCTCTTGATAATACCAATAAAATGATGACGACGATAATGATTATAATACCAACAAACACACAAACAACAATAACAATAACAGTAATAATAATGATAATATAAATAATAATAATATCACAAACACAATCACAACAATAATAATTTTATTCGTATATCACACAATGAATGTCTCACTCCACTTGATTTTAGCTGTGAGCTTCATTGAATACGCTTCATGTTATACTCTTGTACTTCTATGTACTACAACCTGCACGACGACTCAAAAAGCAACACGTAAATTAAGTCTGCTATGTTTAGGTTGGACCTAAAAGCATTAAAGGCTGGCAGCACATAATCCGACTTTACGGCTGCAGTCAATAAATACCATCAATTTCAGTGATCGCACAGTCTGATGCCGTGAGCATCAATCACGTTTATAAACATTTTATTCACTCGAATATGAAATAAAGTTCACATGCGTTTATAATACTTTATCTCTGTATCAATCCAATGGCTGTAAGGCTAGACAGCTGTTTCAATTGCGTTTACAGGCGCCAGGTGGGTGAAGGAAGAGCCAGAGGATGGCTTAAGGCTGAATAACAGTTCTCTGAAGGTAACTTCCCGCTTAAATAACGCAAGTTGTTCACAGTGTAGTGATGATGGAAGTGTTATGGGAACCAGGATTACTATATTATCATTATAAAACATTATATCGCCATAGTTAAAATAGTGTTTAAGGAACGTCCCATGTGGTATATGAGGTGTTTCAGGAACGTCCCATGTGGTGGGTGAGGTGTTTAAGGAACGTTCCATATGGTGGGTGAGGTGTTTAAGGAACGTTCCATATGGATGGTGAGGTGTTTAAGGAACGTCCCATGTGGTGGGTGAGGTGTTTTAGGAACGTCTCATGTGGTGGGTGAGGTGTTTAAGGAACGTCCCATGTGGTGGGTGAGGTGTTTAAGGAACGACCCGTGTGATGGGTGAGGTGTTTAAGGAACATCCCATGTGGAGGGTGAAGTGTTAAGGGACCCTTCCATGTAGTGGGTGAGATATTTAGGGAACGCTCTACGTGATGGGTGAGATGTTTAGGAAACGTTCCATGTCGTGGGTGAGGTGTATACATAACACGATGCTGCGTCATTGCACCGGAACACATGTTGCTCTTCGCGAAGTCTAGTTCAAGCGCAATTGAAAACTGCGTGGGCACTCTTTCCTGGTTCGCCACCTTTACTTATCCACTGTCGGCGCACTTCGTCGGCTAGACTGTGTATTTTTTGATGCAGGCAATCATGGCTGTAACGAGTCATTTCTCTGTGCTTTCGCCCACTATGTTTGGCAGGATAAAACAAACAGTAATGCCGCTCTGTTTATCCTGCTTACCAAGCATCATCACCTCTCTCTCTCTCTCTCTTGCCCACGTTTCCTAATTGCAGTTAGATGACTAGCTACACAGAAAGCGTAGGCGAGCTAACTACGCTATCTATCAATACTAACAACGACTTGCCGTTACTCAGAGGCTCAATGATTTTTCTCTGTCGCCCACCTCTTATGTACCTCTTCTCCGCCAAGCAACACTGGACCATCCTTCCATAGCAGAGGACCCCTTCTCCTCTACTAATGTACGCAGAACCCTGTTCCTCCACCGGACAACTAGACCTCTCTACATTACAAGACTGTCCTCACCCGGACAAATAGACCTCCTTATCAATGTACCACCTGTCTCAGCCGGACAACACTAGACCCTCCTCTACCAATGTACGCAGAACCCTGTCCCTCCACCGGAAACTAGACCTTCCCTCTAGCATGTGCGACCTGTCATCACAAGCAACACTAGCCGCTCTACATGTACGCGGAACCTGTTCTCCACCGGACAACCGTAGACGTATTACAATGTATGCCAGAAGTGTCTCATGACGACACTAGAACTTTATCCTTTACTAAAAAACAGAGGACTCTTTCCTCCAGTCCACCGAACACGACTAAACCCTACACTTACAAATAACAAGCCTGCCTCCCACTCCTCGCATTCTGTGCGTGCTGCAGTGATAACCCCTCAGCAGCAAGACCTGACAACTTGCTTGAGATCGCTCTCCTCCTTGCAGTCGTCACAGAAACCATGACGGCTGGATTGAAGGCAGGCAGGCTGCAGTGGTGGCGGCGACAGCGTGCAGCAGACGCGCGCAGTGCGCCAATGTGCTCCCGCCAAATAAAAAGTGCCCTCTGTTTATTTTGCGCCGCCGGTGATGCGCAGTGTCGGCCCTCGCTGCGTTCACACCCCGGTCTGTCAGTTTGCTTTGCTACAAAGTGCACGAATCGTCTTCGCAGCTTACGCGCCGTGCAATACTCAACAATGCGTGGGCATGTGTCGAAATGAACGTGTTAGACATTGAAGCGAGCCAGCGGCACAGCGTAGTCGCACGTGGGCGGGAATGCTAGCTAGTTTCTCTTTGGATCTACGTGTAATGTCAAAATACATCGTGCAGACAAGTTGCTACATCGCCGTGGAACCAATTTGAGTCAGAATGTGTCGCTGTTAAGGCACCTCGAGGATGCGACTCTCTCTCTCTCTGGCTGGGTAGCTAGAACAGCTCCATGCTGCCCATCACTGTACGTTAGATGCATTCCTCCTATGCGTGCATGGCCCAGAAATGGTTTTATAACTGGGAAACTGGCAACTGCTGTGCATTTTAGAATTTTTCGTATAGTTGCACACGTGCACCTGGAATTAGGGAATGCCGTAGACATTACCTCTGCTTGCATGAACTATACAGTCTAACAGTAGCGGTTGCAGAACTGCAAAACCGCTTGGTGCACGTTAGTGACAGATTTGTTTCAACTTGCATTAAATACACGTTCAGGAAGTGGGATGTCACGTAAAGATCACGATCAAAGTAAGCACGTGGTGGGGGTTCAATAATTATCAGACAAGACAATGAGAACCCTCAATAAAAGTAAGTAGCTACCTGAGAGTACCTATTAATTGGAAATCAAATAGAAGACTGTGTGAGGTCTAGCTCTAGCAGACATTATACCTCCGACAGTAAAACATCATTAGAAGAAGCATAATGGGTCTTGCTCTGGCCTACCTTGCTTCTATTTAAAAACGCTAACCCTTGGCTTGTATGTCGGCAATTATGTAAAAGTACTATTACGTACTATGACCCAGTCATCCCGTAACAAATGGGCGAATAGCATTTACAGTTTCTACGTACTTCTATCGTACGTCACCCTACCTTACCTTGTCTTCCTCAATAACTTACCTAGTAATACGATCTTAGATCATGTTAAAGTCCTTACCCAACCTTACACTACCCCGCACTATTATCTTACCATCTATACCTGCCACGAACGACTTCTCGTTCATCTCATCTTACATGAATTTGCGTTATGTTCGTATACCTTATGACGTCACTAGTGTACACTCATGCTACAAACCCACACTATCGGCATAGCCTATCTGCCTTACACCCGGAACTAAACTTGTACTACGCAATCTATTTACCAATGATGACAGCTATATTTAAACAAACGTGGACACTGCGAACACAAGTCCTCCAGGAATAATTATACCGCGTTTGGCCGAGTCACATTACCAGTCTCACCGTGATAAGTGGCTAGTGACTTCTTATTTTAGGGCTTATTACAGGAGGACACTGACAGGTAGCATTCAACATTATCTTTCGTCAAAACGGCGTTTAACTATTAATATTATCAGGAGTGAATAATACTAGATCTATTCTTATTCACTCCTGATATTATATAGACAAACCTTTGTACAATAGAAGTTAAGTTAAAAAATATATACATTTTTCAAAACGAATCAATTATTTATTTTAATGGATTTTTGGTCGTGCCATTGTTTTTGCTGCCTTTTAAGCTGATAATGTAAATTGGAATTTTAACGTTTATTTTCCTATTTTTTACACAATGCTATTAATTATTAATCATTTAGATGATGAGATTGCAATATATTAAATTTTACTATAGGTCGCAGTTCAATTACAGATATATATTTATGCTAAATATAAATTCTTACAGTTAACTTATATACTGTAAGTAGTAATCGGGTCCAAATATAATTTCCCTTTTATTGCCAACTTCTGGTCAGAAGTTAACGAAATTATCAAATTCAAAAGCCCATTATGCATCATGGCCACCAGAGAAAGCATGTCGTGTATAATGACGGACCTTCTCGGCCATGGTAAATTTTATGTTAAACTTAGAGAAATGTCACGACTATGTTAGAATTTAACTATGTATGCCATCAGGTCCTTTGGACAATTAAAAAACATAGGTGACGCTTCTTACAAGTTTAACGACAGTTCAACAGCCTAGATAGAACATAGGCTTCTTGTGAATCTATGCAATCTGCGGTAAAAATGTAGGCAGGGGATATAAAAAAGGCATAAAATCACAGGTATCACCCTCTTGTCCGCTCACCTTTTCGTCACAGTACCCTCTAGTCCAAAAAGGCGCGACCTAACGAATGACGCAAAATAAGTCGCGACCCACACATTTTGTATAAATATAGCAGTATTTGTGAGTAAGAAGCAGAGTCAACTGAGTTGCGTAGACTACACGCACCTACCGAGCAGGCACCGCTACATACGTAAGAAAACCTTTGTTTCACATTGTCTGATTGTCATTGGTATAGCTGATAACTGATTGCTAACTAATAAAGTAAAAGTTTGTTCAATAGTCTACATTTCATTGTTTATTGTCATTTATGTGGTACTAGCGTAGCACACTAAGTGAGAGTTTATAACTCATACGCCGTAGTGACTTTCTACAGCAAGCCTCAGGGCTTAGCTATACGTGCAATGACTTTACCAATGACAAATGCTGGCAAATTTGATATGTAGATTTTCCATAATTTTTCATTGATATGTAAACCTTGAAAATCAGTACGTAACATTAACAAGCCCACGCAAGTTTTGGGATATTTATGTTCGCCATAGACGGGAGATACAACCTACTCAAAATCAGGGCATTTCTGGATAACTGCCACAGATGAGACACAACCCACACGAATTCGGGAGCATTTCTGGATTACCGCCACAACTGAGCTACTACCCACACAAATTCGGGGGCATTTCTGGATGTTAGCCAACCTATCAGCGCATATAGTTGGCATGCATCTGGCGATACCACTTATCAACACAAAACATTGACAGCTCTTCGCTGCGCACCATCATATTCCCCACACAGAGGATGCCGGGTGTACCCAGCCTGGGCACGCAGCATCAAACCTCACTAAACTAACATCTATCATTACAGCCACCTCTCCATAAAATCCCACCGTATTTCCCAGATGCTAGATGTAACATTGCATCAGAACATGCTTCACTAATTTCTAGTGTAACACGCAAAAAGAGAATCCCACAAAGAGTGACGTACACATTTCCTCATTCACTGAAATGTCTGCAATGTTGTAAATGACTTTCATTTTGGGATCTTATGTCTTCCCCCCAATCCCTGGAAACATAGGTCGTACATCTACAAGTAGGTTATGGTTAGATGCCTCAGCACTTTCCCTCCTCTCAGGTGCACATCCACCCCAAGTACCCCGCACACTACGTCAGTGATGACCGATTCCATGAGGGTCTGTGGAACAAAGCAGGAAGCCATGCGCAAACGCGCCAGCTGAGTGCGGATGCAGCAGCTGAGCATCGGCGAGGGCTTCTCCGCATCTGCATGGCTAGACATTTGTTTGGACTAGGGAGCCGCACTTGGGCAAGGTGGTTGCAATCTGGGCCAAACGGCCTGCCGGAAAAACCGTCAGTGACATGATGCCTGCGCTGAGCTAGCAGCTGTGCCGACTTCCAGGTACTAATGGGTCGGCGTTTTGCGGTCAGTTTCAGAACCGCTCACAGAGAGCGAGAGATCGCAGCTTTGTCGGCAACCATTACTGCGGGGCCTTTGCTGCAACGCCAACAGAGCATAGACCGGCACCACAACGTCGCCCCCTGCGCCACATCGGGTGGCGAGCGAAGTCGCAGCAGCAGTCTCGCTCGAGATATCCTGTTCCGCTTTTTACAAAATATTGATAGTATCGTAGGCGCGAATGATACACAGTGACAGCCCAGGTTGGCATAGCAGCAGTGACAGGATGCTGAGCAGATGATGTTCTATTCATCTGGAACGATGCCAAGCAAGTCTGGACACGCCAAACCCGGAACGATTTTTGGTGTTACCACTTCATGGAAAGCGTTTGACGTACTCATCAGCTGTTAGGGATAAATGCACCTTAAAATTGTTGTACCCTGATAGCGAGATGATCAGCCGAGGGGTGTGCTTCCATTACAAAATTATTAACGAGTTCTTAACTGCCGTTCTCGGAAATGTCGCGAGATACTGGTGGTAGAATTGCATTACGAGAACGAACTCATCCATACACGATAATTAGATATATGCAGCATGACTACATGATGGAAGTTAGGCAAACTTACTTGTGAGGACGCACAGCAGGAAGAGGTACTCCGTATAAGAGATCAGCCCTGAAAACAATCAAAAGCACTTGTTACATAGCAGAGGTAATACAGTGGGAAATAATCCCTAGTCCTAATGATTCTCTCCATTTCCAAGTAGGACACATAAACGACATGATCATACCGTTGTTATGCATAGACCTAAACATATTGGTGCCACCACGATGACGTGACGGTGTTGCCTTCAGCATCTTTCTAACATCACTGTCCATGAGAGCAAGTCGGCCAATACGAGCTGCAATTACAGAACAGAACATTCCATGAAATAAATGTTTACAGTAAAATCTACATTTTTACAGAACAAAACAAAACAGTAACAAAAACACATCTCAACTCAACGTCTCCAAATAAAGTATATAAATTAATGCATGATTCAAATTGATTAAAATCACAATATGATGTATAAAAAAAAAACACGTCGTTTGCTTGTAATGTGGTGCTCTTGTGCTATTTTTAAGTAACAGTCAACATTCAGTAATATACGAGTGTACTTACTGGAGATCACAGAAACAAGGGACCAACATTTCAGATCCTCATGACACATACATTCAATCAACACTTAACTCCTTACAAGCCCTCGTAATATATTGGATGTGACATTTTACAGCCCTCGGAACAAACACAAAACAAATCGAACTATGATTATAAATAAAATCATCAACTGTGGAAAGATGACTCATAGAGTAATCACTGATTGTGTCATGTAGGTCACGGGGCCAATTTTCGTTTAACGGCTAATAGTTCGCACTGTCTAGCATGCCAATAAGTAGAGTTACCAGTCAATAAAGGATGAGATCACTGTTGATCTGTCAAGATGTGTCTGCGCTTGTAATTAGCCTATCTCTTTTCCCATCTCATACAGACCCTAATTCACCCGGTGATATTGTACAATTATATGTAAAAAAAAAAAATAGTAGCAAGATGATGAAATTACCAAGGGAGGGTGGAAACAGAGAGAACGGGGAAAAGTGGGGGACGTCAGTGAAATAGAGTGGGAGAGTGACCGACAGCACTTGCATGCATGTGCAACAGAGACAGAGAGAGAAAGACAGCGAGAGAGAGAGAGAGAGAGAGAGAGAGAGAGAGAGAGAGAGAGAGAGAGAGAGAGAGAGAAATAGAAAGAGAGATTGTGTGTGAAAGACAGAGATAAGTAAATAAGATAAGAACAAATAAAAGTAGAGTAATAAAAGGAATAAAGTTAAAAAGTAATAAATGTTGGACAATTTTTGGTTGGCACTAATTAGAGGCTACAAGGATAACAAGGCTGCTTACAAACACAGCCTGCTGAAACAGGAGCACAGGCATCAATGGGGGACATTGCATGCACATGACATTGACATGCACCCAGTGAGTGATGCGGGAGGGGTGGGAGAGGGGTGACATACGTCTCGGTTCCTCCTCCGTGATGGACTCAAGGAAATCTTGCGGGGTCATGAATATCTGCCCGTCGTACTCAATCGACGCAAAGTGCAGAAACCGTTTCTCTCGCAGATTTCTCTTTCTTGGCTTCTTTCCATCCTTTGCCTCCTAAAATGAAATTCCAAGGTCACACCCTATTGGACCTCAGTCATCATCTAAAAAGCTGAAATTGCAGAGCCCTACTGGTATACTCGATGTTGGACTCTAAACAACGAGTCAAATATTTAACAAGCAACCGAAAACACGTAAAATAAAACAAACAATTTATCCTCACTCAAGCGCTGGGCACTATATAGTGGAGGCAGCGGCGGCGGCCGCCCTTTGACATTGAGCCTCATCAGATGGATCGAAACCAGACAAGCATTCGATCGCTCAAAGCAGCCTTCTCTCAACACAAATCGCCCCGCCTCCTCTCCATCGCGCTATTACCACCATCCAACGATTTAATTACGCCACTCGGGTCAAACAATCTCATTTCAGGAAGCGAGAGCGAGACACATAATCGGCCCATCACGACGTTATTGGCCACACATTTCGTCGTAGCAGTGTGAGGGCACTCGCTGACATCGTGCAAATTGCCTGTCTGCAGGCGCAGTAGAGATGGCGGGTTAACACCGGATGAAAACCCCGACCGGCTGCGTGTCAAACGTGCAAGAAACCTATAAACAGCTAATGGGAAAAGATTTAACAGTCGTCGAACGTGACTTAACGTGTACTGTGTAGCCGCCACAAAATTTACGTGTTTTCTTTTGATAACGTAGACGTGATATTAGTACGTGCTCTAGGTCTGCAAACGGGGCACACACAATATTTCTTGTATCTATGCGCTGCATCACTGCTGATCACTTAGCTGTGCCTGTGCCACCCACCCCCCTTCCTCACCGAGATGAGCTTTTGGGACAAATTGCACAGAAGAATGGAAAGTAGGCTGAGCAAGTTTTGGACAAATTCTGTAAGAAAACGCTGTTAATCCTCTGCATTTACCAGCCGCCAGACAAAAGCACGAGAGCGAGGGGCCAAGCCGTCTTTGTGTTGCGACAACAACTGGACCACTTTAGTCGCAAATACAAAGCCACTTAAGAACCCACAACGCTGCAAGGCACACAATTAGCCACCCAACTGCCACCACGCTATCTTCCTGAGATAAAAAAAAAAAGTGCTGCGAATATAACTCGGCTACTTACTAACCGCCATACACTTATTTACATTATATCAGGAGTGAATACTAATAGATTATCTATTATTATTCGCTCCTGATCATATCAAGAGCATATAAAGAAGCCTTCATTATATGCTCTTGATCATATCTAGCTATTACTATGGCAAATGAGGTAAATAGGGGAGATAGTGGGTGCAATCTACCATTTTATTTTAAAAATGAGACAAACAAAGTCGGGCAACAGGAGGAAGGAAATCTAAAATCCACATGCACGACTTAGTTAACAAATTTCTGTCGGAAACGTCATCTATCGACTGATCGAAACTGCGCCAGTGCCAACACCGGTTGCCCGTCTGCTAACAGTCTAAAGGAACGTTGGCGCTGCGGGCCCCCAACAGGTAGCAATGAACAGCCTTGTACCAAGATTAGTTGAACTTCTGAGGCACAAGCCGCTTCCCAGCGGCTGGCTCCGTTCTTTCGACAAAGGTGATTATGGCTCGAGATTAATTACTTGGCGACTGCTTTACTTGCAATATGAAGAACATTCCCACTACACAGGACGCCTTCCCCCTTCTGCGACAACAGCAGGTACCCCAGAATATCTGTGATCTGCTGATAATATTGATGGTTGACACTTTTCTATTGGTGACAAATTCAGAGTATTGGGGATATGTCATTGTCAGACTGAACTAATGCACGAAACCTTCGATACGCCACGGCACAGATTTACTAAGCCAGGTGGCACTGGAGTAGCTGCGCCCCCCCCCCTCCTCCCCAATGTAGTTTCATTTCAATCAATGTGCAGGCGGTCGATCAGACAAATGCCGGGTCTGCAGCTAGAATGATAAGCGGGAAACTAGCGCATGATTCGGCCGAGATATCGACGCAGCCTAATCCTTCCCGGCTCCCTATATAGCCGTCGACACCCCTCCTACCGCCGCAAAGCGCATGCCTCGTTGCACTTACATGCATCCAAACGTTCATTTACTCTTAATAATGTAAACTGAATTGCAGTGCACTGAGTGCAGTGACTGTGAAAATGAAACTGTCCCCTCGCATCCACTGCCTTGTGGGTGATGAGTTTGGAGTCGGGTCAGTAAGTCAACAGGGACTCTGGTCTGAGTTAGCAGTGCCTTCATTTAACTACTACTAGTGGAATTATTTCACCACACGAGAACAGCATTGTGTGGGTATTTTTCTTGCCATTTCAAAGAGTTGTCATTGGAAGTAATCATTGCCTGCGACTTGTAGACTATTCCTGAACGTGCTGCTTCGTTCATCAAATGCAGGATGAGAGACTGAATACAAGTATTATTTGCTGGACTGAGCCAAACATTAGCAGGACACAGCAGACGATCCGCATATACTTATAGCTAGCTACTTTATCGCTACAATTCGTATGCAGTCATCCGCCTGAATATACCCTCACTGAATTCCACGTATGATGCCAAGCCTCGCAGCGAATGCATTCCTTTCCAGCTGGGCCCGTACGGGGTTCAACTTCGACATAGTGTGCCGAGTCTGAGGTGTGCAGGCATGTGATTAGTAATCCGGCTCCAGGGCCTGCTAAAAGTGTTAAATCATTGTGGACCATTAGCAATCAGCTGATCAAGCAAGGCCTGCAAGCATCATTCAGAATGAAAAATGTGCCATTATCGCTCATCCTTGAGAAGAAAGAATTTTTCCCCAAAAGGACACGGTTGCCGGTTGGGTGCAGGAAAGATGGGATCTTTCATAAATAATAGATTCTTCAACTAGCTTTGACTGTGTAACAGTGCTTACCAGAGACATGCTAATCTCTCCTTGTAAAAACATGCAATATCTCATAGACTTGTACATTGTATAGGAGAAAAATGGTACATAGTCTGATTCTTTGTAAACAGGTTACACAAGTTCCTATCTAACAACGAACATTTTCATGAGGTGCTATCTCGTACAACGGACAGTTGTAATCAGAACTTCACTGGCAACTATTTTCCTCTAAATGAGCACCATACAACATGACATCATGATTCTCCTCAATTTTTATTTAGAATTTGCATCAGTCAGCCTGTAGACGGACTGTTCTTGTAAACCCAGGTGGAATGTGATGGATTTCCCGCTGTTTAGGCTGCTACAGTAAAGGCCAGCTATTACATCCCAACACATGGGCATGCAGATATTTAGTTCCTGCCCAGGTGATCCCGGCTGCTGTCCACTTTTTGTTACATAGGGCTTAGACCTGCTTGCATGATCGCACTACTAAATTCAGTTTGTGTCAGCTTTTAACAGGTTTCAACAAAGAGACTATTATTATGTCGATGGCAACCAAAAAAGTGCACAGGTGCTACCGTTTAACGTATGATCTTTCGCCTTGAACAAATTCTAGCAAATGCTTGGTTTCCATTGACAAACATCTTACAGAAAGAGTTGGCTGACAACGAACAGACCAAACCCGCTTTTGAAATATAGAAAAACTGTGGCAAACCTAATCAGATATGTGGATCTGACACATAGGCACTCATTTGAACAAACATCGATAAGCATTCCAATTTCAGAAAGTTAATAAATCTTGTGCAAAGTTAAGAAGTTGATTCGCCACGACTCGGCACATATACGTAGATAAATAATAGACTCCTTTGTTAATCTGAGTTGGAATCTGGTTACACGTGTCAGGCACAGCTAGCAGCAGTCACCCGCCGCCCACCTGAGCTCATATCTTACTGGGCTCACCACCCCAAAATTCCACACTCTTTACGGCATCTCTATGGGAGGGGATATGTGTCAAAATTCAAACGTTCAATTGATCGATTGATTGTTCAATTGAACAGTCGTTTAATCATTCAAACGTTCAATTGATCGATTGATTGTTCAATTGAACAGTCAATTTAATCATTCAAACGTTCAATTGATCGATTGATTGTTCAATTGAACAGTCGTTTAATCATTCAAACGTTCAATTGAGCAATTAAATAACGAATTGCCAAATTGAATCGCCGAATTGACGATTTGACGAATTGACGAATTGACGAATTGACGAATTGACAAATCAAAGGCACAAATACTGAATAGGCGTATTGAATCATGGAATGGAGCAATTGCCGAGGCTCGTCTATCGAGCAATTGCCGAGGCTCGTCAATCGAGCAATTGCCGAGGCTCGGCTATCGCCAAATCAAACGTATACCTACTGCACATGCACACAGAGGCATGACAGAGGGTAATGCTATCCCCCGGGCGTGGAAGGAGGTTACCGCAACGTGGCAGCACTAGTGTTAGGATAGTGTTAGGATTAGAGTTAGGTTAGGGTTAAGGTTAGGGTTGGGATTAGGGTTAGGATTAGGGTTAGGGTTAGGGTTAGGGTTAGGGTTAGGGTTAGGGTTAGGGTTTTTGCCCGGGGATAGCAACACCCCATGATGGAAGGCGCGGTAGTTGCTAGGAACGCAATCGGCCGGCGTTTCCCAGCTAAGTGCGTGTACCCGCGTGTACGTGCGTGTACCCGCGTGTACGTGCGTGTACCCGCGTGTACGTGCGTGTATCCGCGTGTACGTGCGTGTACCCGCGTGTACGTGCGTGTACGTGCGTGTATCTCTGTGTACCCGCGTGTACGTGCATGTATCTGCGTGTACCTGCGTGTACCCGCGTGTACGTGCGTGTACGTACGTGTACCCGCGTGTATCCGCGTGTACGTGCGTGTACCCGCGTGTACGTGCGTATACGTGCGTGTACCTGCGTGTACGTGCGTGTACCCGCGTGCTCGTGCGTTTACCCGAGTGTACGTGCGTGTACCCGCGTGTACGTGCGTGTACCCACGTGCACGTGCGTGTACCCGCGTGCACGTGCGTGTACCCGCGTGTATCCGCGTGTACGTGCGTGTACGTGCGTGTACCCACGTGTACGGGCGTGTATCTCCGTGTTCCTGTTTTGATGTTGCTCTTTTTTTAAATTTACACTGGCTATACTGTTTAAATG